ATTCCCATATAAATAATGAAGAAGAAAATAACTAGAGATACAACCATTGATCTTAGTCATTCATAGGTGATCTTACTTCTTTTACTAATGCCTTTCAGGTCAGAAGTGTGACCCTGGGGTGACATTGTGAAAGGAATGACCCTAAGGTAAGACACTTTAAACCCTCTGTCATGCCCATGCAAGGGCTGCTGGAGGACGCTTCAGCTGTGCGGCAGCGGCAGAACTGGGAAAGCACCTGCTGTTTAGCCAGCTAGACATCTCCTTCCTCAGGAGAGTGAGGAGAAAACTCCGCTCCTCCAAGCTCTTGCGTACGCCTGACGGCTGTCAGGTAGGCCCACAGACATCCGGGGGCTTAATTGTCTCTATGTGGTGCTGTGCTTCAGTGGTCACATTCCGTGTCCACTCTCAGGTTCCACTTCTGCACCTGGTTGCTTTTTTCTTAGAAGAGATAATCAGTTAAACTAATATAAACCTTAATGTCTTTGTTCTTTCTTGACAAGTATGGAAAAGCACTGATGCATTATGCTCCTTACCTCATCCTGGCTACTAGAAAGACTTGGGCCCCTACCTATATGACACGTGATGTGCTTGACCCTATCACTGACCACCAATGCCATGCCCTACCTACTCTGCCCCCAGCTTTGCACCACGCCCTATGTACTCTGCCCCCAGATTTGCACCACTCCCTATGTACCCTGCCCCCAGATTTGCACCACTCCCTATGTACACTGCCCCCAGCTTTGCACCACGCCCAATAAAAGTCAGAGTGTGCAGACGCTCTGGGCCCCTGCGGGACTCCGCACTTTGGTTGGCAGTGGACCCCTGGGCCCAAACTGTCTTTTCTCTATCTCTGTGTCTTGTGTCTTTTATTTCTACAGTTTCTCATCTCCACACCTGCAGAGAAGGGCTCAAAGGACCTTGTAGGGCTGGACCCTACAAGATTACAGACACAAACCACCTCACGTAGCCCCAATTTTTTACATTGTCCCCCAAAACGTCTGTTATATCATTTTTTTCCCTTGAGGACAGGATTGAATCTAGGATCACATTTTGCACTTAGTTGCCATGTCTCTTTATCTCCTTTAATCTGGAACATTTCCTCATTCTTTGTCTTTCATGTCTGACATTTTAAAAAACACTAGCTAGTTTTTCTTTCTTTTCTCTTTCTTTTCTTGAGACAGAATTTTGTTCTGTCACCCAGACTGGAGTGCAGTGGCAAAATCTTGGCTCCCTGTAACCTTTGCCTCCCAGGTTCAAGTGAGTCTCATGCCTCAGCCTCCTAAGTAGTTGAGATTACAGGTGTGGACCACCATGCCCAGCTAATTTTTGCATTAAGTGTCTTTTTGTGTGTGTGTGTGTGTGTGTGTGTGTGTGTGTGTGTGTGGCAGGGTCTCACTCTGTCACCTAGGCTGAAGTGCAGTGGTGCAATCTTGGCTCACTTCAACGTCCACCTCTGGGTTCCAGGGTTCAAGCAATTCTCCTGCCTCAGCCTCCAGAGTAGCTGGGATTGTAGGTACACACCACAATGCCTGGCTAATTTTTGTACTTTTAGTAAAAACGGGTTCACCATGCAGGCCTGGCTGGTCTCGAACTCCCTACCTCAAGTGATCCACCCACCTCGGCCTCCCAAAGTGCTGGGATTATAGACATGAGCCATGGTGCCCAGCATAAGTTTCTTTTATACATAGCAAATATTTCTTACTTGGGGTCTGTCTGTTTCTTTGTATTTAAAATCAAGTTATGTAGCCCCACTCAGAACACTACCTAAATTATGTCGTGTCTTTTTCAAGGGAACATTTCTGGAAGCACATGATAATCTTCTGTCCTTCATTGGTGATGTTAATTTTGGCCACCAAGTCAAGATGCTGTCTGGTTTTCCCACTGTGCAGTTAAAGAAAAATTGCTGTTACAATTTTTCCTCTTGCAACGAATAAGCCAACTGTCTGGTAGAGGACTTTTGGCCCCGTTCCCCAGCCATGTGGAAAGGGCCTAATTCCCGATAAGGAAGGCCCTTCCTCCCACACAGGGAGGGTCCCTTATCTCACTCTATCCTGGCCCGGCCCAAGACCGGCAACCTTCCCGCCCAGCGGCCCACTGAACCAACCACCATCCGCCCCACCAGCTCTCCTGTAACCTCCCGTCCCACAAGCTCCCGCCCGGCAGGCTTCCTGCCCAGCAACCAACCTAGCCAATTGCTACCCGCCAGGTCAGCTCTCTTACCGCCCCAGGCCCTCTGTCCCTATAAAGTCGACCGAACAAAGAAAGCGCGCTCGATTCCTCCCTTCCAGCTTGAGTCGCCCGGAGATCCCAATAAAGTCGGTACCGGTCACCACGCGTCCTGCCTCGAGTCTATTGAGCGCCTGCCTCCGTGGGTCGGGGTCCCACAGCCGGGGTCGCACATCCACCATGCCTGGATAATTTTTGTATTTTTAGTAGAGATGGGGTTTCACTATGTTGGCCAGGCTGGTCTTGAACGCCTGACCTCGTGATCCACCCACCTTGGCCTCCCAAAGTGCTGGGATTACAGGCATGAGCCACCACACCCGGCCTTATGCTGGGGATTTCTGAAAAGTCTTGACATAAGGGCCATTACTTATTCCATCTCACTTCCTTTCCCTCCACCTGGAACATAGTTGTGATGGTCACAATTGCAGCAACCATGAGGTGACAAGTATGAGGACAAAGGCCTACATGCTAGGACAGAGGTATGAAAAGGTAGAAGTAATCTGGAATCATGTGGATATATCTGAGCCTTTGTGCTAGCCCCATTCTCCCCTACCACCAGATACATTGTTATTTAAATAAATAATAAGATAAACAAGCCCCTGTCTTAACCTTGCAGTTATTGGGACTTAGTGCATTCCTGATGCGTTTGTTTTCAGTGCGCTGGCATCCATAGAAAAGCAGCTCTTGGGGTATCCCCTTGGTCCTTGCCTCCTCTAAAGTATGCCTATCACTACATTCCTGTCCATACCCCATCGTCAGAGAGGGTCCACCACATTCCCCACTGGGTGAGTGGTGAACCATGGCCATACCTGATCGAGCCAATGAAATTAACCTGGCCCAATCACTTTCCCTCCCTGACAATTTCAACTCAATCCAGAAATTTGCATTAGAATTTAGAAATTAGCGTTTGCAGCCTGCTGTGGCCCCCGGAAGATTTCCTTTGGCCAGTATAGTGCTTCTTTAGATTTTTGAAAAACATCAAGCTTTCCCCCAAATAGCTGGATAACTGACCTCTCTTGAAGTAGTGGAAAATCTGGCATCACTAGGCTCACATTCCACATGGTGATACTTGGCTGTTGCTGGGAAGTGGCTTCTCCCTAGACAGGCACACACTCACACATTTTCCATAGTCCCTTGGGAGAGTTTTCCTTAGAACTATGGGTCCCAAGGGAACCCATATGGGTCATCCTTCCTGTTGTCTACCTGGCTCTGAAGTTTAAGATGCCTGCTCTAAGTAGTCTCCATAAGTCCCCAAATCATGATGATAATAATGCTGATAATGAAGATAACAATAGCAACAATTACTGACGGCTCCTGTGGCCCAAGCAGCTTGGTGAGGACTTTACACACATTGTGTTACTTCATCCTCAAAACAGGAAAACCTGACTATTGTCCTCATTGTACAGATGAAGAAACAGAGCCCAAAGAGGACGAGTAACTTGACCAAAACCTTGCGGTTGGTAAACTGTACATCTGAGATTTGAATCCAGGCATTCTGATCTCAAAGTGGGTGCTTCCTAAACAATAAACTATAATGTCTTTCCATGAATTAAGACAAAACCACAGCTGGAAAGAAATATGTGGGAGCTGTATTGAGAGAGAGAGAGAGAGAGAGAGAGCCACCAAAGTGGGAGGCAGAGAGAGTAGCTGCGTTGGCCCGTTTTCTATTTCCTTGTGAAGCCTAGCTGCAACCAACATGTGGGTTGCAAGCAAACCACCAGTTGGGATTAATAATGTAAGCAACAGAAACTGACTGTGGTAGATTTAAGCAGGAGAGGAATCAGTNGACCAGGATGGTCTCGATCTCTTGACCTCGTGATCCACCCGCCTCAGCCTCCCAAAGTGCTGGGATTACAGGCTTGAGCCACCGCGCCCGGCCTCATGATTTCTTTTTTTGAGATACAGTCTCGCTCTGTCACCCAGGCTAGAGTGCAGTGGCACCATCTCAACTCACTGCAGCATCAACCTCCCAGGCTCAAGCCATCTTCCCACTTCAGCCTCCCAAGTAGTTGGACTACAGGCTTGAGCCACCTCGCTGGGCTAATTTTAAAATTTTTTGTAGAAATGGAGGTCTCACCATGTTGCCCAGGCTGGTCTCAAATTCCTGGGCTCAAGAAATCCTCTCCACTGGGCCTCCCAAAGTGCTGGGATTACAAGCATGAGCTACTGTGCCGGCCTTCATGATTTCTTTTACCACTTTTATGATTTCACCTTTAATATTATAATAGACTTGGAATTTTGGTGTAAGAAGGATAGAGATTCCACTCCCCCCTACAGCTGATTAGTCATTTATTTGTATAAAATTCATTCATTTAATAATCCACCACACACACACATATTTTCATTATGTTCTATATTTCTTATTATATCTTTTTTTCCTCTTGAATCTTGATGCATCTTTTATTAGAACCATGGAGCCACAGAACTCTGATTCTCGGCAGTGTGAGGTATCAGGCTGTCTACGACCTAAGGTTTCCAGGCAGAACTACCGCCAATCTGGCCACTCTGGGGTTTACTTTCTCCTGCAAAGGTTGCACCAAGGGGCAGTTAGGGGAAATAGGCCCTTGAATTGCCCAATGTGTATCTCCTAAGTGTCTGTTTAATAATGAAAGGCAGGGCGGGGGAGGAGGGACAGGGGGAGGCTGTGCATCTGTCTTTGTTAGGCAGAGCGTTTATTTTCCAGGGGTTGTTTCCTTTATATTCATTCTAGCATTCAAACCTTCCTTGACGTGGGTTTTAGCGCGCCCCCGCCCCACCTTCTCCCAAAGCCTTATTTGCCCATGGTTGCCTACAAGCTCAGAACGAGCAGGCCACGGAATGGCTGGTCTTGGGAGCAGGCGGTTGAGATGCCAGGGTTTAGAGGCAAAGGGCTGGGGACTACGAGCCAGGACCTTCCCGCGTCTGCTCTGCGCCCCCGCAGTTTCCTCCGCGCCCACCAGAAGGCGCCGGGGCGCTCGCATTCCCAGCGCGGAGCCCGAGCAGCTGCAATCAGCCGGGAGCTGAGCCGCGCTGCCCTGCGGCGTGAGGAGCCGGGCAGCTGCCGGAGCCCTCCCTGCGCTGCTTTTGGGACGCGGCGCCAGGGATCCCCAGCTTTGCCCCCGGGGCTGGGGTGCAAGTGACTCTGAACTTGGTCCTCGCGCCTCTCCAACCGCCCCCAGGCAGGAAACGCCCAGAACCGCCACCGCGCAGCGCTTCACAAAAGCCGGGAGAGTTCCAAGGCGGGAGGGGTCGGGCGCGCTCCAGAGGCAGGAGGGTCCCCCACACCCTTCAGGCTCACGCCCAGCTCCCCCATCGGGTAGCCCCCAGCCCCATGAGGACCCTCAGGCCGGGGCCGAGAGCCCGGCACAGCCCGGACCGAAATTTTGCCGCTGCCTTAGAACGTTAGACAGGTCAGTGCCGGGTGGGGGATGAGGGAGGAGGAGCAGGAGGCGGGAGGAGGCGCGCTTCCTGGTCCACCCGGTCCCCCACGCCGCTTCCCGAGGCCACTCATCGGGTCACCTCCGCCGGGGGCGCCCGCCAGCACGGGCGTGATTCTGCATTTTTGTGACAGGCTAGGTGTGGAGCCGCCCTCCACAGCCCACCCCGGCCCAGGTGATGCTCGGACTGAGGAGTGGGGGGCGCGCCGGCCAGGGTAGGCGGCGGGCTTGGGGGCGGCCGCTCCTAATAGAGCGGGGCTTTTCTGCTCACGCCTGGCCGCGTCGAAACCGCGGCATCCAAATGTCTTCCGCATTAAGATGCCAGGCCTCGGGTGTGAGAGGAAACCAAGATGCAGAAGAGGGCGAGAAGAAAGGAGGCCGGGAGTCCCTAGGGCCCGGGAAGTGAGGGGAGGGGTACCGAGAAGACCGAGACTGGCAGTGCAAACCCTGTCGCGGTGTGTGGAGTGGAGTGAGCCCTTGGGAGCCGGCAGGAGCCTCTGAGGTCGCGGGGGGCCAAGGGCCCAGCCCTTGCCCTCCCTCCATCCCTCCCTTTCTCACTCCCCACCCTACCCACACCTAGGATGTGGCTGGGCCGCCGGGCCCTGTTCGCGCTGGTCCTGCTGCTCGCCTGCGCCTCGCTGGGGCTCCTGTACGCGAGCACCCGGGACATGTCCGGCCTCCGGGCACCTTTTGCGCCGTGGGCGCCCCCGCAGAGCCCCCGCAGGCCTGAGCTGCCAGATCTTGCTCCTGAGCCCCGCTACGCACACATCCCGGTCAGGATCAAGGAGCAAGTAGTCGGGTGAGTGCCGACCGCGGCGGCGGCAGCGCGGCGCTCGCCGGGGGTGGTCTAGGGGCTATTGTTTCCTCCACTGCTGGGCTCAGATGCCTGTGTTCTCCTGACGGGTTGTGTGGAGTGAACTGGGAGGTGGAAGTGGGAGGCTGCTGAGGCTTGGGCTGGGGAAAATCTGTTCTCTCTGAACCTTGCCAAGGGGATGAGGATGGGGATGGGCGTGGGAGGTTATGCAGTCAAGGGAGGGCCCTGAAAGACTCCCTGAGGTCCCGATTCAGACATGAGAAGGGACTCCAGGTGGAGTCCTGGATGCTGGATAGGCAGCTCCTGAAATCCTAGTAACTGGCCCTATCCTACAACTGTAAAATCCAGATTCAGGGGCTGGATCATCAGAACCTTGGTCCCCCTCCCGAGGACTATTTGAAGGGCAGCGTTTAAGGGGACAGATCCTAAATGGACAGAGTTGCAGGACCAAGGTGTTGGGTGCTGTGTCAGTGTTTATGGGATCAATGGAGCTGTGTAGCTGGGCGCTGATGACCCTCACTACCCCCTTCAGGCTGCTGGTTCAGAACAACTGCAGTTGTGAGTCCAGCGGGAGGGGCCTTCCCCTCCCATTCCAGAAACAAGTCCAAGCCATTGACCTCACCAAGGCCTTTGACCCTGCAGAGCTGAGGACTGCCTCCTCCACAAGAGAGCAGGAGTTCCAGGCCTTTCTGTCAAGGTACCAGCTTGAAAGAAGGGCATGACGCCACAGGGGGAGAGCAGTGATTGTGTCCAGGAGGGAGAGCCCCTCTCCGCCCCCCACTCTCCTCTGTCCTCTCCTTCCTCCGCTGCCAGGAGCCAGTCGCCAGCTGACCAACTTCTCATAGCCCCTGCCAACTCCCCACTCCAGTACCCCCTGCAGGGTGTGGAAGTCCAGCCCCTCAGGAGCATCTTGGTGCCAGGTAGGGAGGAGGGTCCCAAAGGATGACCTCAGCCACAGTGCAGGTGGCAGAGCCCAAGGTTGGGTGAGAAAGAATGAGCGATGGTCGGAATGGGAGGTGGGAACTTCTGATGAAAAGGGGACTTAAGGTCAGAAGGGGGCTTAGGAGGTGGGAGGTGAGGACAGAAGGGACGCTAGGAATTTCAGAAGACTATAATTGGAGTTTTCGGGGGAAGAATCTATTTTTTGCTGACTAACCATTGGTTAGGTAGTAGGCAGGGCAGGCCATAGGGCAAGCTTTGATAGGAAAGGCTCAAAAATCAGTCACTGTAGGCTATGTTATACAGTGTCCCCTGCTGAGGCCTCAATAAGAAGAATGGGTGGAAAGTTCTCTATTGTGTGTGGTGACAGCAGGGAGAGAAAACGAGAAAGAATTCAGGGTTGTCTGTGTAATTCTGATCCCCCCTCCCTTCTCCTAGGGCTGAGCCTTCAGGCAGCTTCTGGTCAGGAGGTATACCAGGTGAGAGAAAACAGGAAGGCGAGGAGGCCAGGTGGGCATCAAGAACGCTGGGCGGGAGGCAGGGCTACTAAGTGAAGGATGGAGGAATCAGGGAGGCAAGAAGTGCGCCTGAGCCCTAACTCTCCAGTCCCTCCTAGGTGAACCTGACTGCCTCCCTGGGCACCTGGGATGTGGCAGGGGAAGTGACTGGAGTGACTCTCACTGGAGAGGGGCAGACAGATCTCACCCTTGTCAGCTCAGGGCTGGACCAACTCAACAGGCAACTACAACTGGTCACTTACAGCAGCCGAAGCTACCAGACCAACACAGCAGACACAGGTGTGAGGCCTGGGTGAAGAGAGGGGCAGGCTGGCCAAACAGAGAAGAACCAGAAAGGCTGGAGTGGTCAAATGGCAGAGGGCGTGGGAGGCATCTGGGCTATGGCCAGAGCTGTCCAGCCACACAATGCGTGCTTCAACTGGACCAGCCCGGCCAGAGAGGGAGAGAAGAGGCCTTTGTTCATCTGGGGCTGGAGCAGGCCAGAGGGAAACCCAAGCTTTAGGTGTGTCTCCCCTTTAGGCCAACCGTGGGGCCTCAGGAAGAGACCTGTCCCAAGGAGTTAGAAGACTATACTCCCAACTCACCCTTACCAGAGGGCAAAGGCCTTTACCTTCCTGGGTTTACATTCCTTCTCCAGCAAAAGGGCCCTAAGAGCCCTCCTGCTTCTCCCAAAGCTTGTTAGTTGCACGAAGTTTGCTTCTACATTAGAGCCTTCCACTTGCTGTTTTCTCAGCCTGGAATGCTGGTCCCCAGATTTTTGCAGACCGGCTCCTTCTTGTCATTTAAATCTCGGCCCAAATGTCTCCTCTTCACTATTACATTACTTGTTTGTCTTATTTTCCATTCAACACTTACCAGTATCTGAATTTTTAAATTTTCTTAGCCTGGCACCAGACTGACTAGGTTCCTGTCAGCTTTGTTGCTTAATAGTTGTGTAAATGTGGCAAGTTACTTTTTTGTCTCGGCTTCTTTTTCTGTTGTAGGAATCTACTTAATAGGGTTATCATAAGAATAAAATGAGTGCATATATTTAAGGTCATTTTTTAAAGGGTCTGGCACATAGTAAATGCTCAATAATGGTTAGCTTTTACTTAAAACATTTTTATTGCTTTTCTCCTACCCATTAGAATGTAAGTTCTGTGAATGTAAGAACCTTGTGTGCTCATCCACCAAGGCCTAGAAAGGTGGGACACAGAGTAGGCCCTTAAATATTGATTGGATGAAAACAGAATGTTGTCCCACCCTTCAGGGTCAAATGCCATGTCCTTTCTTCCCAGTCCGGTTCTCCACCGAGGGACATGAGGCTGCCTTCACCATCCGAATAAGACACCCCCCCAACCCTCGGCTGTACCCACCTGGGTCTCTACCCAAGGGAGGTGAGGCTGGCAGGGGCAGGGATGTATTAGATCCACCTTGGTGGGGAGCACAGTGGGAGAGGACGGCCCTGGGAGGGGATATCTACCTGTTCCTCTCTCCCAACTCTCCTTGTCTGCACCCAATCTCAGCGCAGTACAACATCAGCGCTCTAGTCACGATTGCCACCAAGACCTTCCTCCGTTATGATCGGCTACGGGCTCTCCTTGCCAGTATCCGTCGCTTCTACCCAACAGTCACCGTGGTCATCGCTGACGACAGCGACAAGCCAGAGCGCATTAGCGGCCCCTACGTGGAGCACTATCTCATGCCCTTCGGCAAGGTGTGCAGCTGGCAGGCGGAATGGAGGCCAGAGGACTCCCTCAGGGGGGCATCCTCAAGGGTGCCACCTCCAGGGTGGTGATTCAAGGACTGCCTGCCTCAGAATCATGGGGTGCCCGTTAAGCATGAGGATTCCTGGAATGTAAGCTTTGTGGGAGCAGGAAATTCTCTCTGCATTCTTAGAATGGTGCTTAGTGCCTGATGGCATTCAATAAAATAGCCGATGAATGAATGAATAAATGCACACAGAAACTAAACGCATTCCAAGACCACTGACTCGGAACCTCTGTGGGGATCTGCATTTTTTTTTTTACCTAACTCCTGGCCATTCAAAAGCACTCAAAAGTCAGGAGAAGGACACAGGCTGAGAAGGGTCGGGGAGAGAAAGAAGGGTGGCAGAGGGCCATGTCCTATTCTGCAGCCTCCCCAACTACATACACTTTTCTGCCAGGGCTGGTTCGCGGGCCGGAACCTGGCCGTGTCCCAGGTAACCACCAAATACGTGCTGTGGGTGGATGACGACTTCGTTTTCACAGCACGGACGCGGCTGGAGAGGCTTGTGGACGTGCTGGAGCGGACGCCGCTGGACCTGGTAGGGCAGGGGCCGCAGGATGTGGGGTGGAGAAGGGCCTTGAACAGGCAGGCTAAGGCCATGGCGGGGCCCTGCGGCCAGGAACAGCCAGCCCTGGGACAGAGAGGACCACGAAGTGGGGCCTGGGAACTGTCTGAGTCCTGCAGGGGTGGAGCGGAAGAGGATGAGGCAGGGGTACCCCCGAAGACACCGGAGCGCAGATCTGCCCCCTTCGGGTCCCTGGTCCCCGGCCCTCCTGGAGCCAGCCTCCCTTTCCCTGCAGGTCGGGGGCGCGGTGCGCGAGATCTCCGGCTTCGCCACCACCTACCGGCAGCTGCTCAGCGTGGATCCCGGCGCCCCAGGCCTCGGGAATTGCCTCCGGCAAAGGCGCGGCTTCCACCACGAGCTCATCGGCTTCCCAGGCTGCGTAGTCACCGACGGTGTGGTTAACTTCTTCTTGGCGCGGACTGACAAGGTGCGCGAGGTCGGCTTTGATCCCCGCCTCAGCCGCGTGGCTCACCTGGGTGAGTGGCGCCCCCTCCCGGCCTACCCTATCAGCAGCCCCGCACAAGGTTCCTGGTCTCTCTGCCGCACCTGCGCCCAGCCGCCACCGGGAACCCTAGAACAGTTCTGCAGTGATTTAGCAAGACCTACACCTGGGCGAGAGACCCACCCTCTCCCAGCCCCGCATACCCTTTAAGCCTCCATTCCCAGCACAGCCACTGGGCTCCCATAAGCTTCCCCACCACTGTTCCCGCCACCCCTACTCTACTCCCAGCGCTTCCCTTAGTTCAGACTACGTAGTCAGTGCAACCCATCTGGCGTTTATTTAACCTCTGGGAGTGGGGGCAGGTTTTTCCGTTTTCAAAGCACAAGTATATTGATTCCATTTACACAAGAGTAAAAGTGAGACCCAGGATTTGACTTATACGCTCAAGGTCCTTAGAAACAAATCTTTGCGCACAGACTTTGCACTCCCTAAATTTGAGTTCTCCCTTAGTGATCGGCCTTCTGCACCCTCAGGACGCCTTACTGTGACACACTCCCCTCTACCCCCAGAATTCTTCCTGGATGGGCTTGGTTCCCTTCGGGTTGGCTCCTGCTCCGACGTCGTGGTAGATCATGCATCCAAATTGAAGCTGCCTTGGACATCAAGGGATGCCGGGGCAGAGACTTACGCCCGGTACCGTTACCCAGGATCACTGGACGAGAGCCAAATGGCCAAACACCGGCTGCTCTTCTTCAAACACCGGCTGCAGTGCATGACCTCACAGTGAAGGCCCGCAGGGGATTTCTGACTGTCAGGCTGGGCCTGCCTCCTTGTCCCTGCCAGGAATTTCCAGCAAACCCCACCACCCTGTGTGCACTCTACTGACTGTCCCTGAGCCCCTAGTTCCTCACTCTTCCCTTTCCAAACTTGATGCCCAATCGGGGTTGTCCTGGTAACACCCCTCCTTTTTCGAGTGCCCAGAGGCCTGGTGGAGCCATAACCTCTCCCACAGCCAGTGCCAAGTCCTCCCCTCTCCCCATTCTCATGGGGCAGGAAATGGGGGGATCACTTTCCAAGTGCCAAAGAGCCCAGGGGGACTCTAAGAACCTAAGGTGGAAACACTGTCTGTCCTCTCATCTTCTTGGGACTGAAGGGGTGGGGAGGTTCTCCAACACATAATCTCAAGACAGTGCCCTTCACCTGCATCTTTAAACCCAGTACTCTGTACACGTGCTCCAGCCCCACCCCCACAGACAGAGCTTGTGGCTCTGGGGCTGGGGCGAGGGCTGGTGAACACATGGTGAAAGCCATTCTTAGTGTGTCTTTGCAATGCTGTGGGCACAAAAGAAGGGGCACCAGAGTCCTTGTGCAAACAGCTAGACTCACTTCATGGATTCCAAAGCACTCAGCTTCATTTTATTAGTTACATTAGGTAAGGGGGCTCAGGGCTCATGATCCTCATCACACACATGTCGCTGGGGCCCTCTGCACTCCAAGTGATGAGGTCAGACCCACACTGTACAAATCTTATGGTCAGTGGGCTCCTGGAGAAGAGAGGAGACATGTCAGGAATAGATTAAGCACCCCTCTCCCTTGAAATGTGGCAGTCCTCTCAGGGGTACCCCACTAACTTAGGGATCTGAGTTCTTCAGTTCTTCACCCATAGCTCAACCCAGGCTCCCTGAGTTGGTCTTCAATCCACTATTCATTCTGGCCCCATCCTTTTCTTCTTGATCTTTCTCCACAGACCCTTTCCCAAACCCCTCTCCCTGGGTCTCCAGCCACTTACCCCTGCCTCATTGGCTGCAGCCTGGCACCTCCCGGCTCCTGCTCCTGGTGCTACTGTCCCCTTAGCAGGCTCCCTAGGGCATGAGCAGCTGCATCCTGCACACTCACAAACAGCTGATCTGGAGTCACCCTGTCCAGGAGTCCTGCCTGGGTCAGCGTCCCCAGCACCGAGGCTATGGGAGAGGGTGTCAGGCTCTGAGACCCTAAATCCACACCAGGTCCTTTTCCCTCCTGCAGGCATCCAGTCATTGCCCAGGCACTGGGCCCTACCCTTCTCCACACATCTCACCATTACACTGAGCCAAGAGGAGGCGGATCCTAGCATCTCGACATCGGCTGGCCAGCTGCAGGGAGGGGCAAAGGGGTGAAGTCCCAGATCAGAGGGTATGAGTGAGATGATAAGGGGTGTCTCTTCAACCTACCCTCTCCCTCACCTGCACCACTTCTCTGGCCCCAGCAGCATCTGCAAAGGTGACACCACTGAAGTCTAGGACCACCACTCTGACAGGCTCAGCAGCTAGAATGGGAGAAGACAGGAGTACCCAGGTGCCACCAAGCAGCATGCCCAAATCCTTCTCGTCATCCCATCTCACCTGCAACAGTTGGGCCATCTGGCTTTGAAGTCTCCTATGAGTAAAGAAGGGCAGTCACCACTCCCAGACACAGCATGAACGTGCACCCCTTGAGCACAAGGGTCCCCTCAGAACGCCCACTTGCCTCCCGCTCCCTGAGGATCCACTTCCCTCCTAAATCAAGCTCCCTCACCGTTCCTCCTTCTCCAAGCCCCAGGTGCCACTCCAGGCTGCGGCGAAACTGCCCACGGGTCCCAAAGTAGAGTGGTGTTGGATAGCTCAGGATGCAGAGCCCTGGGACCTGAAGGAGCTAAGAGGTCGGAGGGTCAGAGAAACGTGCGGCCAGTCTTCCCTTCCTTCCGTGGCTGCAGCTCACCCACCTTGTGGCTTCCTTTGAGTGGCCTGTAGAGCTCTGTCCCCTCAGCCTGTCCAAGTGCCAGGCACTGCACCCTAGGGAAGAGGATGGGGTCAGATTTCCAGTTAAGCCTGGCCTGGCTGGGGAGTCATCCCAAGCACCTCATTCTATCCCCTGCCCCGACCTCAGCTCTACCCATCTCTGTGCCCACCTCTGGGTGCGGCAGACCACAGTCATCATGGAGAAGACCACACCCACAGCCAGGCCCAGGTCCACACTCAGGGTCACTACAGCCACCCATGTGACCATCCACACAGCCTGCAATACAGGGAGGGGGTGGATTGCCCAAAAGAAAAGCCAGGCCATCACTGCTGGGGAAAGAGATCCAGGGCAGTGACTACCAAGGCAAGTGCTGGGGAGAGATGACCCAGGAAGGAAAAGACATGACAGAGGGAAATAACAGAGGTAATTGAATGGGACACACACCAAATGTAATGAGCTGCACTAATTGGGAAGTTACAAATATTCAGGCCCAAGGGCTTCAAACCCCACCCTTTCCCTTGCCTGTGAGTAAAGGGTATTAGGAGTTATATGTGTTGAGGGAGTAGGTAGTTTGCAGAATTTAGGACCAGACAATTTGCTTTGGTTTAGGGCAGAGGCTGGGGATGCTAAGAAGATGGGAGGGGGCAACTGGGGATAATGCCATTTCTCACAAAGTCCATGCGGCTGATGCGCCATAGTTGTGGAAGTTCCTGCATCTGGAAGAACAGCTGGCGCATGCTGGAGATGTTGATGCAAGCCAGGACAGCCTTGAGGTAGAGGAGGTGGGCTGACTACCTCAGTGTCCTGGAATACAGCCACCCCTCCCAGCCATGCTACGCCTCCTCTGCTCCTTACCTTGGGCAGATAGTAAAAGAAGGGCCCCAGCCACAGCAGTACTGACAGAACCACTATGCAGGAGAAGAGGCCTGCCAGCTAGAGGGAAGGAGGGGTGGAAGCAAAAAAGGAAGGGAGCCTCCCCCCGCCAGCGTGAGAGCTGGTCTCCCTGCCCACTCTGCCTTGTCTTCCTCAGAAGTCTCCCTTCTCCCAAATCTCCTTCCACACAACCCCCTTCTTAATATTCTGCCATTCACATCTAACCGTCCCCTTCCCCCGATTAATTAAATGCATATCATTCGCCAGTCTCCCCATAGATGTCTGTTGTTCAAGTTCCCAAGTTTTGCAGCCCACCTCCACCTTAAAAGCCACTGTGGGATTATCCTATAAGCAGGCTAACCACGTGCTTGGGGTACCAGCAAAGTAAGGGAAACCAAAAATATTAGGGGGAGACTTTTATATGTGATATTTCTTTTAAAAGACAATGTCATTGTGTGAAAAAAATAAGAATTTTATCTCAAGTTTATGGTTTTGTGTTTTAATTTTGAACCACATCTGGGCACCATAAACTTTTTAGTGCTTAGAGCCTACAAAGGTCTTCATGGAACACTCGTATTTTCCATCCCTCCTATCTATAATTCTACCCCCTCACTCACCCTCCCTCACAGATCCCCATTCTTCTCTATATAGATGCCACCTGGGTATCTAGCCATTTTCCACCCGTTCCTTCACCACCACCATCTTGCCTGGATGGCCCATGCTTTCTCCTGGCCCAAGGATGCCCTCTTACCTGTGTTTTCCCACCAGCATCCACTAGTAGACTGGTGGTGGCCAGCGTAGCCGAGTTGGGAAAGCAAGAGAAGAGGGAGGAGATGAGGTTGGAGGCACCATGTGCCAGGAGCTCCTGGAGGGATGCAGTGAGATGAAGCAGGAGAGACAACGGTGTGGTGGGGATCAGATGGGAGGGTTGGGGTCCACAGTCAGAGTCCTACCTGGTTGGAGTCAATAGTGTAGCTATACTTGTCTGCATAAATGGAGGCCAGGGAGGCGGACACCGCAAAAGTAACCAGTGCGATGGGCAGTGAGTCAGCCAGAATCCTGGGCAGCTCAGCCAAGTTGGGAAGGAGGGGTTGGGGCAATCTGGAGAGGGAGGGATCCATGGTGAGGAGGGGTTGGGTGCTGCAGTGAGATAGGGAAGGCAGGGAAAATGGGCGGGACAGAGATAAGAGGAAATGTTGGGCGGGAGAGGTGGGAGAAGAGAAAGCTGGCGTCTTTTCATTCTGTCTTACCCTCCAGGCAACAGCCCTACTATCTGGACGTTGTATCTTGTGTCCAGGGACGAGGTGAAGCAGAGCACAGAGGCCAGAAGCACCTGAGAAAGAGAGCAAAATGAAGGCAGGGGAGGGGATGGGGGCCCTGGCAAAAGCTAGAAGGGCTGGGCTGAGCATGAGAGGGGACCATAATGCAGGCCTAGCTGGTTGCAGGAGCCCAGCACCCGGGGGAGCAGGATGTGTTTGGCATGGGGGCCTGACAACTGATTTGGAATGTGGAGATGGGAAAGAGGAATGATGTATGCCTGAGGCCACAGAGCGCTGGAATGGCAGAAGTAAGAGGAGGCTTCTGTGAAGGATGGTGGATATGAAGAGATGCCACTGAGCCTTCCAAAGAGAGAAGCTGGGCGATATCTAGTGATATACTGGCATCTGTGAAGATGCGGAACTGTTAGTGGAGGAGAGAGAGAAATATCAGTGGAGGGTGGAGTGCACGGTGAATTACAGAGAAGGACCCTGGTGAGGACAGATGTCAGAGAAGGTGCTGTGACCAGCAAGACCTCAAGGGAGCGCTGTAGGATGGCGGAAGCTACTCTAAGAGGTCTAGAGGGGGCTCCGTGAGAGACGTGGGTCAGTGTCTAGGGGGACTGTGGAAGGTCAAAGCGTTCTCCTCTAGGAGGCCTGGGAAAGTGAGTGTGAGCCGGCCCTCTGGTCGGTGGCCTCTCTGCACTCCACCAGGGGGCGGCAGCGGCCAGTTCCCACGGGACGGCAGGGTCTGTGCGGGCAGGGGCCGGCGCACACGGCCATCCTCACCATGACGACTTCCCCCGGGATCGGCGTGGGTAGCCGGTCTCGGAATCTCACGTTCAATTCCTTGACCGGCACTAGCAGCGCCAGGCTGAGCGCCGAGATGGTCAGTTCAGCCGGACTGCTCCGGGGCAGCGCAGTCAGCACGCCGGCCAGCGTCTGCGGGCAGGGGCGGTGAGCAGAGGGCCCCGTGCCAGGGTTCGTGCGCCCCGGCGCGGGCCCCCAGGGCGAGGCCCTCTCTCCCAAGTGCCACCAGGGCTTCCACCTCCGCAGCGCCCTCGTTCAGCCACAGGGCTCCAACCTTTCCAGCGCCCTTGTCACACACTATCCCTCCACCCTCCGTCCTTCCTCTTTTTTCGAGTTTCCCTATTCCCGGGACATTTAGAAGCCGCTTCTCTCTTCTCCCAACTTCACCTTGAAGAGAGAGAAGCAGCCGATCTGGCGCGGGAGAGACAACCCCAAGAGGCTCGGCAGCTGGGACACCAGCACGTGCAGCGCGGCTCCGCTGGTCAGCGCCTTGACCACAGGCTCCGACAAAAAGGTGGACAGGACGCCTAGCTGCAGCGCGAACATCCCCAGCTGCGGAGGGGGGGAAGACATGCAGTCACCAACTAGAGAAGCAGACCAGCCCCGCGCCCCTCAGCCCTCCCGAAAACAAGCCGGAGGCTGGTCCCTCTCTCTCTCCCCCGGCGCAATTTCCCCGGCCCCCCCAGCAGGGATCCCCCCGGGTCCTCCCTCACCATCAGCGCCCCGCTGCCGAAGGCCATGGCCGCGGCTACCCCAATCCGCTGAGCTTCCAGCTGCTCCCTCTCGATTCCGCTCAGGTTCCCCACTAGGGGTTCTGGCACCAGCCGCTCGACAGCCGAGCCTGTCATGAGGCTAAGTATGGCGAAAGTTCCTACCACGGGGGACACATGCAGACATCACCAGCTGGGCAGCCCTGGGCAGGGCAACAACTCAGGCTCCACGCTCTGGGGCCGAGATGCTGCTGCCAGACTCCGCTCTCCCGGAAGGCTGCTGCCCCGTCAAGACTGTGGGGCACGAAGAGCTGCACCAGTCGGCAAAAACTGCTCCCTCCGGCAGATTCTCTGCCTATGCCCCTCTTCTTCCCCTTCCGAGTCCCTGAGATGTTCATTTTAACCAAATTTCACAGGGGGAAAAAGTTCAAGTAATCTCCCATCTCTTTGCACCCACTCTAGGAGAATTGTCTAGGTCAGTTTCCTGGCAGGGTTGGGCAAGGAAGGAAGTGAAGGTGGGAGAGGTGAAGAGGGAAATAAGGAAGACGGGAAGTAAGAGTGCCTGTCCATTTCCACCCCACAGGGAAGAGGAGTCATTGGAAGTCCCTGGTCACTCACCTGTGGACAGGTGTCTCCCAGTACCCAGCAAGCTGTAGATGAGGACGGGAAAGAAAGAAGTGTAGAGTCCAAACACCGGGGGCACGGAAGTCAGGAGGGCAAAAGCCATGCCTGGGATGGAAGTGGAAGGAAAGGCGTGCTGTGGGGAGGGGGCCTTGCCCAAGCTGCAGGACTCACCCCCTTCCCACACTCTTAGGGGCTGGCATGAAGGATGCTAAATCATGCCTCAAGAGGGAACTGAGGGGTTAATGGGCCTCAGTGGGAGGTCATGGGGTAGACGAGGTCAGAGATCCTGTGGCCAAGTCCTGGGAGCCTGGCGTTTTGTGCCTCTCTCCAGTTCTCTAAGCCAGAACCTGTCCAAGACTTCTGGCAGGATTGCAGGTAGATGAGAGGAGGTGGAGGTGGGGATCTGATGGAGTTCACAGTCCTTAACCCAAACTTGGCCTCAGATCCCTCTCTCCCACCTTCAGCGGCACGAACCCACCACCTGCTCCCAGATTCTCAGCTCCCTACCCTCCTCCCGGAAGCCCTCTAGAGCTCCTGACAGGCTGGTGTTAGGGCCTCTCACCCTGGGGCACGTGCACGATGCCCACGGTCACTCCAGCCACCGCATCTCCGAGCAGCCAGGTTCGCCAGCGGTAATGGGGCAGCCAGTGCAGCGGGGGCAGCAGAGCCAGCAGCAGGCGCCACGCCCCCGTCCTGGAACAGGAGCGAGCCCGCAGCCTCCACAGTCCGCAGACCCGGGGAAAGCGGCGCTCTGCAGGTCGCTCCGGCTCTAGCTCTTCGCTCCCGAAGAGCTGATGGAACCGAGCCTCGGTGAGAGCTTCCCTGAGCCTGGTTCCCAGGGGGTACTTAAGGTCGGAGGTGTCCCCCGGGCCTGGGTAGGTCCCGGCGCCCTGAATCTCGCTCATTTTGCCCTTGGCCACCTCCAATTGAGCACGGTCTTAAATACCCCTCCATCCGCTAGCCCTGAGTCCCGCCTCCCACGAAGCAGGGTCCAATCCGGCCCTGGAGGGCACCCTCTGTTGAGGACCTTCTCGGGTCTGGCGAGAGTTGCGGCTCGAGGAGGGAGAGTCTCTGTTAGGCATTTCCGCAGACATCCTTGGCCGGATCCGATCGCTGGCTCGGGTGATTGTGGAAATATGTAGAGATTAGAGAGACAGAGAGGCCGAAAGGCAAGCGCACCCCAACACTCAACACCCACTATTTACCTCTCCTTAGACTTTTCACTTCACTCCCGGTTCCTTTCCCCATCGGCAGACACAGAGGCTGGTTCCTCTTGGGTCATTGGTCCTTCCTTGAACCGCAGCGTTCTCCCCGCCAGAGCAAGAAAGTTCAGCGCCCATTCTGAACCACACCTAGACCCACATCTGCATGGGGCACAGCTGGCTCCAAAAAAGTGTCGGGGGCTCTTCTGGCCTCTGCAGTTTCATGTCCTACTGACATGGAATGTAGCCCATGCGGATTGGACAGAGCCAGCACCCACACCTCTGTGGGTAGTGGCTGGGCCCAGTTTAGGGCCTCAAGGGAAATACTGAACCCATAGGAAATTTTTTCTTAGGCAACATTTATCACATTCAAATGCTTTTCACAGGCCAGGCGTGGCTCCCGCCTGTAATCCCAGCACTTTGGGAGGCCGAGGTGAGCAGATCGCCTGAGGTCAGGAGTTCCAGACCAGCTTGACTAACATGTTGAAACCCCCGCCCCTACTAAAAGTACAAAAATTAGCTGGGCGTGGTGGCACACGCCTGTAATACCAGCTACTCGGGAGGTTTAGGCAGGAGAATCGCTTGAACCCAGGAAGTGGAGGTTGCAGTGACTGGACTCCAGCCTGGGCGACAGAGCAAGACTCCATCTTAGCCAAACAACAACAAAAAATGCTGTTCACAAAGTGGTCACTCAAAAGTACATACATGGTTAAACTAAGTGCAAAGGAGTCAGCCACCCACCTCATGTATCCCTATGGTTCCTAAAGAAATACAAAGGTTCTGAACTCCAGAATCCTGCTGTTTGCCAGGATCCCCTCCTCCATTCGCAAGAATCTTCAGCACCCCTCCCCATGACCCTCTGGTCCCCCAGTCCATGACCCCAAAGCCCTGGGGGTGTGGTGCAGTGAGGGTGGGTCTCCCCTCTTCAATTCCTCCTATTGTTCCCCAGAAGTCTTATCTGGGCGCTACGTCCTGTCCCCCCCTTAGAGATCCTCCCCCCATTGTCGGCCAGAGGGACCTCAGGCCTACAGGGAGGCTCCAGCTCTCCTCCTCACCCTTCCACCCCAGCAGTCTATTGTCTGCTAAGGAAGCCCAAGTGCACGTGACTGAACCCAAGGGACGAATGGACACAGTGGACACACAGATGCATAAGGACCCAGGACAGGGCATCTGGACATGGCTGTCTGCATGTTTGGTTCTCTCTGTTCCAGTGGTTCTTCCAGAAGTTGGGAGGGGTGAAGACCCCCTTGGGGTCTCCATTCTTGGGCCCACGGCTTGAAGAAGAATCCCCTTCTGCTCACTATGAACATGGCTTACGACCTCACAGACAGCAAAGATAAGGAGACCCAGAGACAGGAAAATGCCGCAGCCCCCAGGATCCTCTCCACCTTCTCATCCTCCCTCAGCTGCGCGTGGCAGCCTCAGAAGGAAAGGTACACTGGGCATTTTGTGCTTTAGTATCTGGGTGTTGGGGGAATGATGAGAAGTCACACTGCATTGAGCTTTCTGGTGGGGTCTAGACCAGAGGGTGAGTAGGGGGAAAGAAGGGATGGGTAAAGAGGGTACATCGAGTCTAGGGCTGGCCAGGTGCTCATGGCTGTAATTCAAGCACTTTGGGAGGCCGAGGCAAGTGGATTACTTAAGACCAGGAGTTCAAGACCAGCCTGGGCAACACAGTGAGACCCTAACTCTACCAAAAAAAAAAAAGAAGAAGAAGAATCTAGGGCTTTCCAGTGGTTCCATGCCTCAGGTCTGGATTGAGAGATGCTGCAGCTGTGGTTAAGGAACAAAGATAGCAACGTCTTTTATCTCACACCCTGTCTCCTTCTCCTTTCACCAGACCGCTCCTCCAATGGCTCGGGCCAACCATTCTCTTCCATATCATTTCACTCCACCTGCCCCCACTACAGCCTCCCCTTCCCTCTGCCAATACAGCAGCCTTGTGATATAACAAAACCTTTATTCTCAGAAAACAGGAAAAACAAAATTAAAAAACAAAACCAATAATTTCTATCTTGCCCCTGCCCCAGCCCTCCCACCCACCCACATATCCTCCTTTTGGGGGGACCATGATGCATGCATAGAGGTGGGAGTGGAAGGAACCTGCGTTCCTTGGGTGGAAAAAAGTCCTTGGGTCTAGGTGCTCTCCTCCAAGTTGATAGCTCTCCCAGCCTTGCCCACCCTCCAGACACACCAAGAAGGAAGAATTCTGGAGCAGTGCCAGAAGGACTGCCCTGAGGCTCCTTGGGAACAGGCAGCTGAGTCAGCACCACCCCCATGGTTTTCACCAGTTACAGTTCATCTTCATCCAGCTTGGCAAGTCTGGCTTGGCAGGGAGGGGTGTTTGGAGTTGGAGGGACTGGAGGAGAGTCATGGGGAGCCTGCGGGATGTCACCGAGGGCCTGAAGAAAAGATTCAAGTCAGAGGATCACAAAGGCCAGAAATCTACCCTCACTTCTCTCCTTTCAGTTTAAGTCCCTAGCCAAGCCACCTCCTCTTGCCAGATATCTTAGATTGTCTGAGACTATCAGCTTCTCCAGAGTTAAAATGGAGGGGAGGAGGGGAAGGGATGGGAAGTAGGAAGGGCCAGATCAAAGGAAGGAATGATATGGGGAGGGAGTTTGCAGGTCCCAGAACAAGAGAGGCTCTCCCCTTTTTATCCCTACAATGAGGGAACCCTATTCATCATACCTGTGTATCCAGGGGCAAGGGGGCTTTGGCCACCTCCCCTTTGGGTGACAGCAGCAGGGAGGGGAGAGAGCCATTGATGGGTGTGTGTGCACTGCCCTGGGCCCGATCTCCAAGCCGAATTCTCCCAGGGCTCCCTACCCCAAGCCCTCCTGGCCGCCCCAGGCTGTTGGTCTGGCTCTCCCGTCTCTGGTACTCAATGGGTGACTGCAGTGCTGGAGCAAAGAGGGAACAGAAGAAGGGTTACCATTCTGACAGGTCTCTTCCCTAGGGCCTGTACCATTCTCCCACTTTGCCCTCCCTCCCTGTCAGCTAATGAGGAGGTAGGGCAAAGTGGGAGAATGGGGCTTTAGGGGATCCTATCAAATTTTGAGCTAAGAGTGGAAAAAGGGAGGAGCCATGCTCAGAGGGTAGGGACTGGAGACTGGGCAGTGAGGGATTCAGGAGGTCAAGGGGCTGAGAGCACATCGGGGAGAAAGGATGAGAACTTCACCGTTGAGGAAGTCCCGCTGGCTCTCCAGGATCTGAGCCACGTGCTTGATCCAGGCCTGACTGACAGCAGGGTCTGTAGCCTGCAGGACATAGCGCTGGATCCCACCCTCTGGCCCTCTGGAGGTCAGTGCAAAGCGGCAACGGTCACCTTGGAGGTTCCCCTCCAGTCCCAGGCAGCTCACCTGAATTGGCAGATAGGAGACAGCCCCCAGATTCCTCAGGCCCTCTCTGGCTCCTCTGAGATATCCCCTCAGAGGCCTCATGCCCTCTCTGTCCACGCCCTCTGTCGTGGCCCTCTCCCCACCTTAATGCTGCTCTTGTACACATATCCAGGCTGTGTTCCACCTCTCACTCCTCCTCCCAGGGCTTCACTGAAGATGACGATTTGCTCAAAGAGGAAGACACGCCTCTCTCGACCCCGGGAAGACAGCAGCCCCCCAGCCTCAGGCTCAGTGACCCAGAAAGTGTCCTGGCCCAAGAGCTTCCCCTGAGCAGTCAGTTTGCCCTGAAACCAAAAGGATAGTGGCCTTGGAAGAACAGCAAGAAGAGAAAGGGCAATTCTCCGTTCTCCCTCCCTCGCCTGACATGCCCAACCAACCAACCTTGGGGTCAGCCCCAGGAAAAGACAACTCCCCACAAGGACCTCCAGAGCGCTAGGACTGGGGCAGAAGCGAATCGGGCCTCCAGTTTCCTGTCTATCTCCGTACCTCAAATCCCCGCAATCTCCCCAGTGTCATCATATCGTTGCAGCGCTTGGGCACAAAGCACATGACCTCCACAGCTTGCTGGGACACAGGTGAGGGAGGCGCATTGTTGGCAAAGAGAGTCATTATTGGGAAAGAGGCCCTCTCAGCCAGCTGCCTCTTCAGACGGTGTCTCAACCCCAACCAGCCTCCCACTAAAAACCAGACAGCTGTAAAACACCCAAGGGGCTGGGGGGACCCCTGAGAGACTGAGAGGATAAGGAGCACATGGTGCATCTTGGAAGGCCTGGGGTCCTCACCTCTAGCTCTGCAGTATCCATCCCAGCTCTACTGTAATACTTGAGAAAATCCTAAGACAGAGAGAAGAAACACTCAGGGAGGTCACGAGAACACCCTTAGAAGCTCTGCCATCCTCCCATGAAGACATGGTTGAGGGCCCTCAGGAAGTCTGGGGGAGCCGTAAGAACTCCAGGGAGATGAATAAGGAAACGGCTGTGCCAGCCAGCTGTGCCCCCAGGAAAAAGGGAGTCCTGACCTTAAGCAGCAGCTGATATTTCATGATCCGCTGCACAGGTTTGATAAGAAGGTCGTTCAGCTGCAGGCGGTGCCCCAGCTGCTGCCGGAGCTCCTGGGGACAGGGACAGGGTGGTTATACAGCCTGGAGAGCCCCAATTCTGTCCTCCTTCCCACCAAGGCATCTCAGCCACTGACCTCAAAGTAGCTGTCCCCAAACTCCGACACCACATGCTCTGACTTGGGCTTATTCTGACAGTACACCACATACATATGCAGCCGGCGCTCCTAAGAGGGGTAATATTTAAGAGAGAGCAGGATAGGCAAGGAGGGAGGACACATCTCCAGAGAACCCCAACTCATTCCTAAGCCCCGCCCAGGCCCCGCCCCTCAAGCCTCACGTGTTTGATGAATAGCTGAGCCAGCCAATCAGGATCTTCCAAACACCGCTGTAGCTCCTGCAAGAAATAGCTGGAGGGGTTGGTAGAGAAGGGCAGGTCAAATACATTTCAGAACCCCTACCTCGCCCACTCCCCCCAGTTTCGAGCTGTCTTCCCTGGTACTGTGCCCTACAAAACTTCTCCAAACATTCCTTAAGTCGCAGTGGGCTGATGTTGGGATACGGATACAGAGGAGGCCCCCCCCAGCACCTGGCTCTCAGGTTCCACCACTCACTCTCGGTGCCACTCATAGATTTGCTGGATGTTCCCAAACACAATCCTGTCACGGCCTCGAAGACTCTCGGGGACCCCCTGAGCAGCCATGGTGGCCATGTAACCCTGTGGGAAGGTCGAGGTTGGGTCATGAGCATGTGGTGGCCCCCTCACCACCTTTATGCTGCTCCTGTACACTTATCCAGGGTGTGTTCCACCTCCCTGTCCCTGGTGGGAGCCGCCCTGCCCCCAGAGTAGGAAGGTCCCGGAGTGGGGAGGCTTGAGAGATGGGACAGAGGGGCATCCAGGCACCTCCTGAAAATAGCCCTGGGCAGATGGAAAGGGCAGGAGGGACAGGCTGGGAAGGGGTAAAGGGAGCTACCTCCACAATCTGCCCCAAGTCGTCCACGTACATTTTCTCTGTTTCTACCAGTTCACTCAGGACATACCTAGGATGAAAGCAGGACGCCCCCACTTCAGCGTTGGAGCGCATCCTTGGTTCAGCCCGTTCCTCATTCCTCCCCTTCATCATCATAGCCAACTTCTGAGGAAACTCCATCAAAAATGTGAGGGACAGTCTTCTGGAAGGTGTGCAACTGCAGGGAGGGGCTGTGGACACTTACATACTCCTTTCCAGAGCCGCCTTCTTCTGTTCCGCCTCACTCTCAGGGGCTTGGGACAAAGTCTCCTCTTCAGGTGGCTGGAAGGAAAGAGCATCCTAGGGTGAGCAAATGAATGCCCCTTGAGAGAAAGGAGCCTCCCCAGAGCCTGTCCTCGCACCTGCACCTTATCTCCAGGGCCCTCCAACAATGTGGTCAGCAAGGTCAGTTCCGGCAGCTCCTCTCCTGTGGCTAGAGCTGGCTCCAACATCCAGTTCTGGGGGCCAGAAATTAAGTGTCAGAGGTCAGGGACAGTAGCTGGATGGCCCCAACTTGCCCTCTCTGCCAGTGTCCTTCATGGATGTCCTACATGCTTCTGTGGCATCCCCTGCTCACCTCATATGGTCTCGGCTGACCACTGTCTGCCTCAGTTTCCACACTGAGACAATGTTTGGAATGATCCAACCATTTCCTCAGGCCACTGACTGGCCCTGGGGGGCCTGGGGAACAGGGGCCAGAGCTGAGGCCAGAGCTGGGGCCAGAGGGGGCAGCCAGTCCGGAGGCAGCAGAAGCCGATATACTCCCCTCACTGCCAGCAATGGAATAGGATTCTAATGGAGGAAAAAGAAAGGAGGTGATAGACCTTGCCCCAGCTCCCGACTCAGAGTCCCAGCGAACTCTCAGGTCTCCTCTCCATGATGCTCAGCCTCTCTCTCCCAAGGCTCACTCTCTTGCCATCCTCATCTGAGTTGGCCAGGATAGAAATTTTCACCGGGGCACCCTTGGGAGAAAGCACAGTAAGGTAAACACCTGGCTCTCCAGGCCTGGAACCCCCAGTTACATGTGGAGGTTCCCCATATCCTGAGCATAGCACAGATATGAGGGCGGGGGCAGCCATCTGGGCAGACACTGGAAGCTGGGGGTGGCCATCTGCTCTCCTACAACCCTCCCCCTTTCAATGGGTACAGACCATTCTCTGGGAAGGGGGGAGGATGAGCTGGGTCCATCTGCCACTCCCAGTCCCCTCCTCCACAAATTGCAGTAATCACTATAAAAAGAAAAGACTTCTGCAGCCCACCTCCCCAACCCGTGCATAGACCCAATAGAGGAGGCCAGTGAGGAGGGTCCATCAGGGTTATCTCTGGCCTGGGCTCAGAGACAGATGAGCTATGATTCCTTATAAAGCCCCTTGTAGAACCCCCTCATTCTCATTCCTCCATTCCTCTGACCCTCTTCAGAGGTAGGTTCTTAGCAAAAGGTTTGAGGGAAGATACCCGGTTCTGGGCCTAAGGGGATTGTGGTGGGTTTTTTCTCAAACTCATTTGATTAAGGGAAAGAGATGAGTTCCCTGCCCCTTCCCCAATTTCCTTAACTTAAACTAACAGAAATTTGGAGGCGGAAGGGACCTTAGAGATCGCTTAAGAAAACACTTTCCTGGAAAACACATAAATCCGGAGGGCCAGGGCAAACAGAAGCCGTGAACCCCCAGCCCGCCCCCCGACTCAACACTGGGCCCTTTCGACCTGGCACTCACCACGTCCCCCCCGGGCGAAGCAGCAGCCGCATTTTGCCAGCACTTTTCGGATCACACGGGGACAGGCACAGCGACCCCCTTTGGGCTCCCCCCGCATGGCGCCCCGGCCCCCCCTCGCCCCCCACCCGGGCCGGCCATGCAGGGGGAATCAAGGGGGGCGGGGCGGGGACGGCGCCGGGCGCACACCCCCCCTCCCTCCTACCCTGGTCCAGGCTGTGGGACTGGGGGAGGGAGGGGACCGGGAGGAGGTGTCCAGGGGTAGAAGGAAGTCTAGTCTTGAGGCGTGCTGGGGGGCTCTGGAGAGAGGGAGGCGCGGGCCCCGGCCGCCGGACTGGGCAGGGAGGGTTTCCGGAACCCTGGCGGTGCGCGGGCCCAGGGTCCAGATGTCCAGTGGAGGGGGGAGGGATGGTAGGGGAGGCTGGGCCGGGATGCGGCAGCCGCTCCAGCTGTCTCCGGCCTCTGGTTGGGGGTGTCTCTAGGCCCGGGCCGGGGAGGAGGCGGGGGCCGACCCCCGAGCCACTGGCGCGGTGCAGGTCCCAGCCGAGCGACAAGCGGAATAACAGGCCGGGCCGCGGGGCCGCCACGGGGCGGGGCCTCTGCGCCCCAGCTCCGCCCTCTCCCTCGCGTTCCCCCTCCAGCCTGCGCCCGGCTCCCGCCCCGATCGCCCCTCCCCCAGGCACCACCAAGTTCCCACTCCACATCCCCAGCGCTTTTTCCCCTCCCCAGCCCGGGTTCCCCCCACCGGCGTCCCCCTCCCTCCCGCATCCCGGGCTCTGCGGAGCGCTGGGGCTGGGGTTCAGCCTGTCGGCAGGGTCTGCCCAGGTCTCCCCTTGGCCTCTGCGGTGAAGAAGGACTCGGTGGATGGGGTCTTGGCCTGTGCGAAGATGTCCTGGGTTTGGGGCTGTCCCCGGCCTCGCGGGGATGGAGAAAGGCCCCCCCGGTATGGGGTGCGCGTATGGGGAGCTCTTCGTGGGGGAACACAACGCAAGTGCCGCCCTGTCTCAGGACCTTCTTTCCTCCAGGCCCGGGGACTCCAGCTTAGACTAATGGCCAATTAAGGCGAAGTCGTGGAGCCCGGGCTGGCGAGGGGCCAGGGGTGGGGCGCGGGGACACTCCGCCTGCGGGGGCTTGGGGCAGGCTGAGATAGGGGCACACATCGAACTCGAGGGCTAGAATAGTGGAGGTCTCAGCGATTAAACGGGTCTCATGCTAATTAGATGTGAACTTTATGCTAATAAGAGCAGAATATTTTTGAATTCGTCAGTTGACGCAGGATGGCAAACTGTGCCCCACCCCACCCCCAGCTTCTTACCGGGCTGCAGAGCCCAGGGGAGGACCTCGTGTTCGCGATCCCTTCTGTGATCTCCCTCCGTACGTTCAGACTCTGGCTCGGTACCCCTCGACGCTAGGGGGCTTCTCCTCGGGGGCTGGGGGGACAGAACCACTGTAAGGAGCCCGCCCTCCTTGGTAGCCCTGACCTCCCCCTTCCCCTTCTTTCACCTGTCAAAATCCACATTATTATAAAAGGGTCTCCCAGAACGGGGCTATGGCCCTCTTAATGGAACTCATGGATTCCTGCGACTGTCCCGCAGAACTCGTTTTCGGATATATTGAGTAGTGAGTGCAGCCCTGCTGAAGGCCCCGAAAGACCCCCGACCCCACCGCGAGCCCCCATTCTTACCCCCTCCTGCCCGGGGACGGCGCATGCGCGCAGCATGCCCCCCATGACCCCCAGTATCCGGTCAGTGCGGCCAGGGGCGGGGCGGTCCGGGGGCTTCATACTGAACCCCTACCCTGCTCCAAGTTTCAGGGTCGAGGGGGCACGGAAGCTGGGGGGCTTTGAGGCCTGCGCGTCCGGGGAGTTGCTGCTGCGGAATCCACCCCCTGCCTGGCTCCGCCCCCACTCCCACCCCAGCCAAACTTCGCAAAGGGGGTAGGGTTGTTCTTTTCTCTACAACCATAGTTGCACAACAACAAAACCCTCTTAATCCTAATTCCAACATCGAAGTGTGACCCAGGGCTTCGCAGTGTTATTACAGAACCCGCTGGTGCATCCCGCTTCCACAGGTCTTCAGGAGGCTGGGGGGACTGGGAGGGAAGCAGGATCGCCTCAGCACCCCTTCCCCCTTTCCAGCAGGTCCCGCTCCCCACCCCACACTCACCCGGTCCCTGGAAAATAACGGGTGTGGCATAAAGAGTTGCATATTTTACTTTATTTTTATTAAATTAAAAGCTACAGTCTGGCAGCGATTCCAGAACAGGGTAAGGAGGTTCCTCAAAGGGGTCAGAGAAGAGCGGAGAAAGAGACTGACAGAGACTGAGACACAGGCGAGAAAGGACAAGGTTGAGGGAGAATCTGATGAACACAGGCAGCCAGCTCCATGGGGGGTGGCAGGGAGCTTACATCAGGCCAATTCCTCCTCCCCTGCACCCCAAGTTCAGCAGTGGAGCATTAAGTTGGGGGTGGTGGGGGATCAACAGACCCTCCCTTCCCCATCCTAGGTCCTTTCTCAGCTTGGTCATGGAGCACAGCACATACCAGAAAAAGCCAAGGGCAATGGAGGGGCAGGGAAACCGGGAGTATATGTACATGGGGAGCAGGGAACAGGGCCTTGGAGGTCGGCCTCTGCCAGAAGGGAGTGGCTCACACTGCACTGAAACACTTGGCCAGTGGAGGACGGGGGAAGGGATTGCCCCCCTCCCACTCTGAACTCCCTTCCCAATTAGACAGTTCCCCTACAGGTGTGGTGTTGGGGGCAGGGGACAGAGAGGAGAACAGAGGCTTCTGCTGGATCCTAGTAGAGGTGGACAGCAGGGGCCTTGGCAAAGGGGATGTCTTTCAGTCATCTGTAATACCCTTGGCTCTCAGCTCCTCTTGCACCCGGGTCAGGTAGGTGGGGTCCGGGTACCCAAACCTGGGAGCAAAGAGAAATGAGGGTGAGGGTTGTTAGCTGTTTGAACTTGCTATTATCCCCATGCTTACCCTCAGTCTAGGTAGCTCAAAACACCTCCCCACCTCCCCTAAGGGGGGACACCTCCAAACCCAAGATAACTTAGCCCAATTCTGCTTATTTTTGTAGGTTAAGCTGGGCACATCAGGGCCAGGTTGAATGAAGGAGAAACTGAGATGGCTGAACAGTTTGGAAGTGGTCCTCTCCAGTTAGGAGGCTCCCAGAGCAAGGGGGTTGGTGGTTCCCTCAGTGGAAACTGAGCAAAGGGGAGGAGCCAAGGGAAAGGAAGTGAAGAGGGGTCGCACAGCTGGGGTCCCCCTGTGCAGCTGGTCTTGTGGTGGATGTCGTTCCAGGTGATGACATTCGGTCTCCCTGTGGTCATGGACGTGCCGATAGTGAAGGTGAGACGCTGGTCAAATGCCTTGCGGAACAGGGTCAGCACCTTGTTGCCCTCAGGGCAGTCCGGGAGGTAGGCCACCCGTGTGGTGCCAGGATACCGAACTCCTGGGTTTGGGTGTTCAGCCTGGGAGGAAGGTGAAGCAGAGTGGGCAGTGAGCAGCCAGCCATCCCAAGGCCCAGATGTCAGTGGAGGTGGCCAGCCTCTGTCTCAGCACCCCCAGCTAATACGAACAGGGCAGCAACAGGCTGACAGCTTTCCAAAGAAGGAGAGATTATGGAGCCTGGGCAGCCAGAGCGTGTTTCAGGACATAATCTCTATGTGTTAAGAGGTTTTTTCTGCTGTCTCAATCCCTCAAGTCTCCATTCAGCAACAAATGGATTCTCACAAGTGATGGAAGGTGGCTGGTCCCTACCCTCCAGACAACTCAGCAGAAATGTGAAGACAGAATGATCTATCCTTCAGCCTTCCCTTCACCTGAAAATACCCCTAATATTTCTGCCACTGTCTAACCTGTTCCATCTTCCACTACTCTTCTGTGCAGCTTCTTTACCCGTCTGCACCCGGAATTCCACATTACTCTTTGTCCAGCAGGAAGACACCTAGAGGCCCTTGACCACTCCTGTTTTAACCTTCCACTGGCATCAAGGTTTTGCTCTCATGCATCTGACACAGAGAGATGCTCCTGGCTCTGTTGGGTTGTCAGATCCCTTCCTATTGTGCCTGCCTGCCCCTAAGCCACCACCTCCACAGAATTTACCTCTGCCAAATGTCACCACAGTATTTATGTTCACCAAGGAAATAATATGTAATTCCTTTCTCTCATATCTGATTTGCTTTTTTTTTCCTAGCTCATATCTGATTTTCATGTGTGACTTAGGATCACAGGGATGGAAAAGCTGGGCCTCACCGGAACCTCCTAGCTCCAGGGCACTGAGTAGGAGGGCATAGAGGAGGACAGCAAGACTGTCTCACTCTAACAAGCACACACACCCTCACCCGGTTTTCCTAGGTCAGAGGTTGGGGAAAACCAAAGGGTAAGGGCAGGCCACGGTTTTCTTACCCCCTGGACACCGGGCGGGAAGACGTACTGGATGACGATGGTGCCGTACTTCTCATAGCTGGGCAGTAGGAGGGTGGCGTCCTTAGAGACCAGCATCCGCCCATTCTGGGGCTGGTTGCCCACCAGCTGCCCATAGAAGCGGCCACACATGGGGCAGGCTTTTTTCACCTGCAGAGCCCGGGTGATGCAGCCCTCGCAGAATGAATGCCGGCACTTCTCCAATGTCTTGGCGTTCTGGATCTCCCCCAGACAGATGGGGCAGGTGCTCTCCTGCTCTTCTGCCTCCTCCCGAAGGCGAGGAGGAAGAGGTGGGGGCAGCGGGGGAGGAGGAGGGGGGAGCCCCCGAGCCCCTGGGGGCAGAAGTGGGGCTGCTCGGAGAGGGGGTGGGCCTGGGCGGTGCATCTCAGGGTGCTCCCCTCCACCCCCCAGAGCCAGGCAACCCATCAGCTCCCCCTGCCTCTGAGCTTTCTTCAGCTCTTTCTCTGCCTCTTTTAGCAGCCCCTTGAGAGCCTTCCGGGCTAGGTAGAGCCCATTGGGAGGGGCCGGGGGGGGGCCCTGTGGGGAAAGCTGGAGAACATAGATGTCAGAAGTCTCGCCATCTATGAGGATGGACACACGGTGCTCCTCCCGAAGCCGGGCCAGCCGGGCTGGGGTCTCCTTGCTCAGGAAGTCCCACACAGGCTTGGAGACAGTCACTTTGTTCTTGCAGGTGCCTCCACAGGCTGCCATTCTGGACAGGACGAACGACACTGCCCCCAGGGTGAAAGGGACTCAGGGTGGGGGGTCCCCATTTGACAAGTATCAGTGCCTCCTATTTCAGGCTCTTTCCAAGCCCTCTATTACCTGTTTTCTCAAAGCCTAACCCCCAACCCTTCCCCCAAATTCATATTCTATCTCCCTTTATCTTCCAAAGCCCACTGAAGACCAAGCAAGTTTCCAGAACCGTCTAATCATCTAAGCCAAGCATCGGTCTTGTTTCTCCTGTCATTTCTCCCAGATCATAGAAACAATTTGCCCCTCCCGCCTCCGGGGGACAATGGTTTCTTTAAAGGGGAGGGAGACTTTTTGCCCTCCTTTTTGCTTACTTTGATCCTGAAGAGCTTAGAATTGGCATGCAGGCTCACTCCTTTTTCCCTGCTCCCTACTTGTAGGTCGTGTGACCTGGCAGGGCGTAAAAAAGGAAGGAAAGTGAGAAACCCCTTCTCCCAATTCCCCTGGCCCCCAACCCAGCAGCCCATGGAACAGAGACAGAAACCTGGGCATAGGTTACTGGGAATGGGATTACTTGGAACATGGAATGAAGGAAACCAGTTTAAGGGTGAACATTGAGGATCCCTTGTCGGGGAGGTACCTGAAAAGCCCATGGAAGATGATGGCAGCAGAAATCCTTCTATCTCCACTCAGCTGACCAGGCCTGGGAGTGGGAGAAGGGTAAAAAGTTATGATGGCAAATGTTACCATTTCCCTCAGCCAACCCAGAAATAAAAACTCCCCTTCCATTTCCTCTCTCCTCTGTAGAATTCCATCCTCAGCTTCTCCCCAAGTTGCTCAAGAAGGAACTTCAACATGTTAACCTTCCTCCTTTCTTCCCCAGCTCTGAGGCCCCCAAGAAAGCCTAGGGCACACATAAGAGAAGCCAGGGGAAAAAAAGCCCACACAGGTGGAGGTCTTCTTGACACCTCCCTCAGATCACATGGACTGGAATATTTCCTATGTTCCCAATTCCTTGCACTGCTCCATATTCCCAAATAATTCAGCCCCTATTGCCAGGGAGCCTTCCTTGAGAGCTAACTCAGTCCCTTCCGCTGAAGTCTGTTAAAGAGGTGAACAAAGTGGCAGCAGCCCCCGCAATAACAAAGTTCTCATTGTCACCTTTTAAACCCAGCACAGGCAGGGCTGTCTGTCAGCTCCCTAGTCTGGTATTTAGGGAGGGGCGGGGCTCACACAAGGGCTCAGCTGAAGGGGCCTGATGTTTCCCCTGAGTCTGGTCGCATTGGGCTACAGGGCTGTCCCCAGAACACCTCCCAATGCAGCTCCAACAGAAAGAGGGGCCATTAGTGTGACCTCCATTTATTGACTGATCCAAAAAGGAGCGGCTGTCCCTTCATGCCTCTATCATCGTCCCCCAAGGCCAGAGGCACCTTGAGATTCATAAAGTGAAAATGGAACCCTAGATCCTCAGCCCATACAGTCTACCCGCGATGCAACACCTCCCTCCTCATCACAGGGGACCCAGGACCTAGGTGTCCTAGCTCCAAGTCCTGCTGGCACAGAAAAGGGAGGCGGGGCCACAGTTTAGGGTGGGTCTGTGATTCCTCTGTGGCAACCCAGGCCGGACAAGGGACCAGTCTCCCTCCAGACCGAGGCCGGAGGGAGGGACAGCCGGGAAGGGCAAGGGTCCCTGGGGGCATCCACTGAGGCCGCTCCAGCCCTCCCCCCACGGCCTCCTGCAACACCCGACCCGGAACCAACTCCCCACATCCCTCACTCGCCAAAGCCCCCGGACCCCACCCCCGGGTGGGGGTGCAGGTCGGCCCGATCGCAGCTCTCAGAACCCCCGAATAGAGGCCAAGACTGGAGGGTGCTAGAAAGATGATCGCCCGGGCCCGGAGCTGGGGGCCCGGAGCCGCACGCGGGGAGGGAGGGGGAAGAGGGGGCGCCGGGGGAGCGGGGGGCGTGTGAGGGGTGCGAGCGGGGCCTGGAGGGCGCGCGGTGGGTGTGGGGGGCGCCGGGCTCACCTACCTCTCGTCAGCGCCGCCATTGCCGGTCACATGACTGAGGCTGTTGCTGGGATGACGGTCCGGGCCTTAGCAACAAGGGGGGGGAGACCCCGAGAAGGTGGGGGGTTGCAGNCCATTGCCGGTCACATGACTGAGGCTGTTGCTGGGATGACGGTCCGGGCCTTAGCAACAAGGCGGGGGAGACCCCGAGAAGGTGGGGGGTTGCAGGGGGTGCAGGCTGATGGAAAGGGAAGGAGGGAGGACAGCACCCCCTTTCCCCTCACAGGTGATAATCACCGTTCCCTTTGACCCCTCTTTATCCGCAAGCCCCTGCTCTTCCTCCCCAAAACAAAAATGGAGGAGCTGTCCCAGTCTTTGGAGGGAGGGGGTGGCGTCACGGAACTGAGGGTAGGAGGTTAAATCCCTGGAGACGCCACCCTTCTCGCTCCCGCCTCCCGGCGGAGCACTCTCCCTTTTCTTTCCCAGCCAGCTGCGTAGCAGCTCCCGGGAGCTGGTGGTGGATGGGGGGGAGAAGTGTTGGTGGGTATATGGGGATTCGGGGGGAGGGCGGCAATTTTTTGAATCCTTATGGTAGAAGGGCCTTTGAGGAACAATGTCGGATGGGGAGAGTCATAGTAAAAAGAAAAGCATTGGTTCTAAAAAATAAACAAATCCCGGTACTAAACTATTTCAATCCCCTCCCTCATCTCCTGCCTCTTTCTAGATTGTTACCTCCTGTGACCCCCACAACCTGCTCTCAGATGGTCGTTGGTAAGTGCCTCTGATTTTCTCTTTCCACAAATGGATATGGAGGCTGGTGCAGAATGGGAAGTGAATGCATTTTTTAAAAAGTGGCTTGGGGTGGTGGTTGTGTCAAGTGTATGGTTCAAATAGAGTTAAAAACTCTCAAAGAAAAAAAGCTCTGCTCTGCTTCCCACTTCAAGCAGTCTCCGCCCCCAATCCAACTCACTTCCCTGAGGCCACATCAAGCCAGGTTTTTCCACCAGCCAAAAGACTTTCTCAGCCAAGACAGGAATCTCCCAAACTGGCAACAACCTCTATTCATCCACCCCTTTTTCACTCCCCCTCTAGACTGGAGGGCTGGTCACTTTCTTCACTTTCCCAGGACCCTGCTGCAGCTGTACTCTTCCTTCCCTCCGGGAAGAGGACAGCTTTCCCAGGAAGCCGGAGGGAATACTGAATTCCTTTTCTTTTAGCAGGTGGGCTGAGAGGCCTACTCATTCACCTTTGCCAAAATGGAGTGTTAGCCAAGCCCAGAACTCTGGGAAGAGGAAGCGTCCCATCACCCTACTCTTCCCTGGCCCTCACTACCGCTGACCTGCCACAAGGTTAAAGACTAAGCTTTCCATGCCCATGCACACCCTTCACAGCCTTTTCAAAAACGTTCACAGGCATCTATCTAGAAACCCACATCCTTAGTTAGGGGCCCAACACCTTGAACACCAGAATTCTTCAGCTGGTCTCTGCACCCTTAAGCACAGGCTTCCTCAGAGAAGTGAAATGTTAAAAAAAAAAAAA